AACACATTTACTCTCATTGTTGGGATCCAGACCCAGGGATCTGAGTTATAATTCTGGATGGGGGGAGAATTTTGATGCCATCTCACCTTTAGCAGCTCGACAACTGGTTGCTGACACTTCTCCTCTATCTCTGCGATCAGCTGCTGCAGAGAGGAGCTTTGCCGGGAGAGTTTGGTGACATTTTCCCTTAGTCTCTGCAGAGTCTCCCTCTCCTCCTCCTCCAGTCTCTGCAGAAGCAGCTGCTTCTCCTCTCTCAGCAGCATGTGCAGTCTGTTAAATTCACCTGCAATCATCTCTCTCTTATTCTTCACTTTCCTCTGAAGATAGAAAAATAGGAAAGGCACAGAGAAAACATGAGTCAGATGTTGAGTTACACAGACTGGGCCTCTGTCCATGAATCAGGGGATATTAGATCAGTATCACGTTTGTAAGGATATTTACTTCTTTGGCAAACGTACCATAAAGAGTTTGTTTTAGTTCAGAGTTAATAAGGCCAGTGCCATAGCGGGGTTGTCCAGGGTGCTTGGTAAAGCCAAAGTATGTTATTGCAGGTGGCATGGGATGGACACAGTGGAGTCTGGAGAAATCGAGGGAACAGGAGAGATATACAGGGGGCTGCACAGGGAAACCGTGGGGGGATTTGGGTGCCAAGTGTTGGGCCCTCAGACACCAAGGGGAGCCGTCACAGTGAGATGTGGGCGATGCTCCTTCTTTGACAACCTGCTCCCAGGACTGCAAATTCAGAACATCGGGCTGGTGCTAATAGTGTTTTGGGGGCCATCCTGCGGCTCACATTGGTGTTGGGCGCCCAGGGCATTGTCAGAGCTGACTTTGGCCTCACCCAGCCTGGTTGAGTGCCCCATGCCCATGTGCCCAGTGCCCCTGGGATCGCAGCCTTTAGGGAGCCCACTAGGCTCACAGAGCAGTGGGTTGGCTGATGCCAGTTTTGTCCCCACCTGCTCCCTGAAAGGAGCCGTGGGAACGGTGCTGAACTGGTGCTGATCCTGGCTGGGGGAGGGGCTGGCTGCTCTGCACTGGCCTCTCTAGCTCCCCTGCAGCTCAGCACAGAGGTGCTGGGTGACCCTGGGGTGAGCCTGCCCCCCAGTGTGACTCGGGCCACAGTGATGTTGGGGAAAGTCCCTCTCACTCTCCCTGAGATGCCAACATGGCCAGGGGCTTCAGCAGCTTCCCCGGCCCCTGTCCCCTGCCCCGCTCCCTGAAACCTCAGTACGTGAACCCCAGCCCTTCCCCTCACTGGTCTGTGCCCTGTGCTGACCCCCCTCCCCTTCCCTGCGCAGGGCTCTAACTCGTCGGTCTGTCCGGCTCACCTGTGTGTGGGGGGGAAGGGGCTGTGCTCAGTGTCTGTGTCTGATCTGGCTAGCTCGGGTACTGGTAGTAGGGTGACCAGATCACCCAGGACAAATATCAGGACGTGGAGGGGG